ATCTGGATGTTCAATTTCGAATTGGAACGGATTCCTGGTAGTAAGAACCGGGCGGACGGGCTGAGTCGGATCAACTGGGATAAGCAGGAAGGGGAGGCAGTGGAGAATACGCCCCCAGTTGATGGATTTCTGGATCAGGAAGAAGATGTTCGTCTTCATATCAACAAATGGTCGCCGCGAGTGCCTAGCTGTGTAGGCTATCCTATCTGGCAAGCACCGAAGGGGTATGAAATGAGGAATGAGTTAGTCCTTAAACCCTTTAAAGAAGAGGATCACTGGGGCGGTAAGGATGTTCAGTGGATGATGGAATTAGCGCTGGCCAGCTCGCATAGCCTGGTGGAGGATATAAGGACGATTGAGGAAGGACCTGGCAAGGTAGAACGGCATGAGGACCTGATGGGAGGAATGTATCTCCTCGTCAATACGTTATTGCAGGAAAGCCTAGACCAGTCAGGCTCGTTGAACCCGGCAGGGAATGTGGACGAAATACCCGAGAGCCAGGACGACGAGTTCGAAGAAGGGAAAATTAAGGAGGTTTTTCGTGCAGAGGAGTACGACGGGATCTACCTAGAGCTGGGGCTTCTTCTATCATGTGAAATGCGGCTAAGAGATGCGAGCGATAGGGCTCTAAGGATGCTGCAACGCTACTTAGTGCGAGACGGTCATCTTTTCTTGAGAAGGGAAGTGGGGAATCCCAGGAGGGTCGTCTGCGGTAGGATTCGTCAGATCGACGTCGTAGCAGCACTACACGATGGCATTGCAGGAGGGCATCGAGGGGTACAAGCCACGTATGCCAAGATAAGTGAGYTGTACTACTGGGATGGAATGATGGACATGGTCGAAAAATTTTGTCGATCTTGTGTACCCTGCCAGGAGAGATCCTGTTTAAGGCAGGGAGAGCCGCTGCATCCAAGGTTAGAGCGAGAGGTAGGGGCCGTAGTGCATCTCGATCTGCTTTTCATACCACTTGGGGATCTAGGCTATAACTATATCTTCGACGAGCACGATAACCTGTCTGGGTTCGTAGACGGGCGAGTTATTCGCACAAAGACCGGGTCAGTCCTGGTGAGCTGCATCGAGGAGTACTACCTGCGTTATCCATTCGTCAGGGAATTCGTAATGGACAGGGGATCAGAGTTTACCTATCAGGAGGTGCAAGAACTGTTAGCAAGATATGGTATGGCAACCAACTACACCACGGCCGCGCACCCCCAGGCAAATGCTCCCGTAGAGAGAGGACATAGTACCATTACGAACCTCCTGGCCAAATGGACCGAAGGTAGGCCTAATCAATGGCCAAGATACCTAAGGGCGGCTTTCTTTGTCGAGAACATTACAGTAAAGAGATCCACCAAGTACGCACTTGCGACGCTGTAATACGAAAGGCATGCCACCTTCCCTATCGAAAGCTTTCTTAAGACGTGGAGGCGCTGGGATCTGGAAGTCGACCTGTCATTTGAAGAGGTGCTCGATATTCGGGCGCGGCAGGTCGGGGCGATAGAAGAAAGGATCCAGAAGGCATCTGATCAGGTGGCGAGAAGCCGTATGGATGATAAGGCCCGATGGGATCAGTCTGTGCGAGTGAGGAAAGTACCCTTGGCAGTCGGGGATGTCGTGCTTCTCTACGATACGTCGCTGGAGAAGCAGTGGTCCAGGAAGCTCGATAAGAGATGGTTAGGTCCCTACCGAATTGCACGGGTCGGAGACTTCGGAGCGTACCAGATCGAGGAGTTAAATGGGACTGAGTGGAAGGATTGGGTATCTGGAACGCGACTGAAGAAATTCGTGGCGAGAGAAGAGGT